TCATTGTAAAAACGGATATTTTTTCTCTTGATTGGGAGTCATATGGGGGTTAATTGAAATTGTTTGGTTGTGAATGGAGAAATTAAACGGCTTGAGATGCCGCACGACTTGGCACTTTGGTGTGTGTGTCTCTTAATTTGAGAGATGCCAAAGTGGCAAGGGAGTCGATGGGTTTCGGTTTTCAAGTTTCAAGTATAAAGTCTGGGGTTTTTAGTTGGGATTTTTGAGAAACTTGACGAGTCCGAGAATTCGGATTTTTAAGAAACTTTATATGAAAATTTAATAAATGTTACTTTGAGACTTTGGAATGTATAGCTTTATATGTATAACTTTTAGGACTCAACTTGAGATTTATCTTCGATCCAAAAGTTTGTAGCAAAAGTCTTAAGTCGACTTTTTAAATTCTCGAATGGAAAGTTTTTCAAGTCTTCATTTACCTCAACTTAGGACTTTGTTAACTTCATTTAAATTTCAAATAAAATTTCAAATAAAGTTGTAAAGTGCCAAGTAAAGACATTCAAAATCGTCAGTTAACTCGTGAGAGTATCAATGCTTCAAAGGTCTCACCAAAGGATCACACAGTAAATTTTGATTTTTAGTCAGCCAAATGTGACGAAATTGAACAGGAAATGCTTGATTATAATTGATAATGCCAACTCTGCATTCACGGCAATTAAATGCTAATATCGTAACCGCACCCAGTGATATCAACGAAAGTGAGGTAAAACTAGGAAGAGAATCATACGTTGTTATTCTAAAATGAAGAGATAGGTAACTCCCATGTGAACCGACAAAGACTAGAGTGTGTGACGCCGCAGACTCCTGGAGTACCGGGTCTCGTCTCTCAGATAAACTTTGGCGATAGAATATATATCTCTACTACTATTTTTTATCCTTATTTGTTTTTTTTTTTTTTTCATTTTTTTCTCATTCTATTTTTCAACCGTACCTATAATAAGTACGGGTTCGAGACGTACGTGAGAATCGGGACGGTTACGCGATCGAGAAGACGTTCCCGCGATCGCCTCGCCCTCGAGACTTATACCGATCTCTCTCACTCCCATTCAGATCCATTACACACGTGTTTGTACTCTATATACGTACTTTGTATTACCCGATGAATTTGAATAAATCGAACATTCAATTGATGTTTTTCACCGTAATTAATTCGTCATTTCCTGCACACTTTATCATATTTCGATTAATTAAAATAAATTACATTTTAATAATCAAATTCTCTATTAATCAGTTTTTTCTCTGTAAAATGTAAATTAAAATATTGCAAAATTGATTAAAATTTTTCCATCCAATTTGGTATAGATTGCATTTTCCATTTGATTAGATAATTAATTTTATATAAATGAAATCAATAAAATCTTTAATGACAAATATCCTTGAATTGCATTCGATTTTATCGCGAAAAATTAATCGATTAATTTTCGTTAATTTAACATTAATTCCAAATTAATTTTTCGTGATGAAATCTAATGCAATTCAAGGATATTTTGTCATTAAAGATTTTATTGATTTCATTAATACGAAATTGATTATCTAATTAAATGGAAAATGTAATTTATAACAAATTGAATGGAAAATTTTTAATCTTCTATTTTGCAATATTTTAATTTACATTTTCGGGAGGAAAAACTGTTGGATAGAGAATTTAATTTATTGATTCAGGTAACAATTAATTATTCAACAAAACAGAAGTCAACTATTTAAGAATCAAAGAAATTAGAAAGAAAAACGCAAAAAATTAATACTTGACAATTAATTTTCTATACATCTAAATTCCAATCAATTTCATTTTTTGAAAAATCAAGAAAAAAGTTTTCACTTTGATATTACTCATGCCAACCAAAAAATCCGGACTAGCCTCTGAAAATAAACTCATTTTTCTCTACATAATTACAAAGAGGAAAAAAACCCAAGTTCAATTCAATTAATTTATTTCAATGAACTAACGCAACTTAATGAACTATTACTAATCTTATCAGTATAATTTTTCGCTACGAGTGGATATTCAAAATGAAAAATTAATACTTTGAAAATATTAAAAGAAATCTTGAAATCTCTAAAAAAAAATACATTTTTATTTTTATAGAGTAGTCCGATGTTTTCCGGGATAATAGCTGCTACATTTTTTATAAATCTGGGGATGAGAGGAGGAGGGGGAAGGAGACGGGGGGAGGAGGAGATGGGGTAAGTCAACTAAGTCAATTAAGTCAATTACCCGAGGGATGAAATAAACTGAGTATCGATGGGATTCACCTTCGAGGCGTCAACTCGAGGCGGGAAAACTTGGAAGAGAATTAACATGCGCACAGTACAACAACACACCTAGGATAAACTTTCGTTTACATCAAAATACGAGAGCAGGAAGTCGTTGAGTTACGGGGACAGCTTTATTATCCCCCCCGGGTATAAACATTAAAAAAAACGTTAAATACTTGAACAAAAGGATTTCGTGCTTCTCTCCCGATACTTTAACGCACCAATTACTTGAATAAATTTTCCATTGTTTTTTCATCACGTAATTCTGAGGTATATTACTCGCTGAAATACTTGTAATTCAGGAACGTAAAGCCGTTGGCATTTTTCCGTCGGGTATATCTTGTGTCGTTACATTTGTCGGGTTAATAACTGCTCCGGGTATTTACTGGCACAACTTTGTACAAGTTTTTTACCCAGGACTATTCAAATACCGGGATGCAGCAGCTGCTTGGATTGATGGTCAATTTTAAAAAAACTGACAAACTGTAAATTTACACTGTTGGAAAATTACACTTGAAATTTTATGTGATTAAAAATTGAATTTTTTATCGAAGTCACATTAAATTTATGGAATTCGAGATTTCTTTTTTGTATACCAGATCGCTGACAAATGTGAGAAGTGGTAAAAAATCAGGCAATAAATTATCGTAGTGTGAATCATATCACTTTTCAGGTTGATTCAACGATCATTTTCTTTGACTCCATACTGAATCAAGTTGAAAAATTAAGTTGGATACATTGAAAAACGGATTTGAATCAGGCGTCTCTTTCAGTTTGATTTAAGACGACTTTTTTCACTCATTTAACACCCACATATAGTTAAAATTAACGTTTTATCATTTTTCAGACGAACTTACTACGGGATTGACGTGAAAAATATGTTTTTCACATCAATGCCATCGATAATTAGCGAAAAATTAAAAAAACGTGACTTTTGGCTATATGTGTGTGTGGATCATCCTCAATTAGTATAAAGTGAAAATCGCTAAAAATGGATTTGCCTCCTTTGGAAAATTAAATTTTGAATAATAAATAAGCGAGAAATTGATAGTGCTTGGATACCCTCAGCCAGACGTGTAAAAACGAGCTTTCATAAGTTAAGATTAACTATCCAAACAAGTTATTGAAAGTAGGATGAATTAGATCGGTAAAAATAGTACGGGGAGACGATATAACGAGGGCAAGGAGTTCCTCGAAGTGATAAGACCAAAGAATGATATGTGGTATTGCGCATTAACGGTGCATATGCAGCTCGTGTTTTTACACTGGCCCATAACACACCGTCGATTAAAAGATGAGAACATACAGTCTCCCATAGTTCCAACAAGAACGGTTTGAGTTGGACGAAAAAAATCATTGATAAGGTGAAAAGAGAAATCCTGGAATAATTCGTCCTTCGTTTTAGCATTCAGCGTCGCGTGACTCTTATCGATAAGGGAGTATTCATGACGATTTTTTTTTTGCTTTGGCAATTCACCTCAAGGAGGATGTTCTCAACGAGGTCAAATGCGGGGAACTCCTTCAAGGATAATTTCCAGTGTGAAACACCTAAGCATCATTAGCTTTTGAATATACCGGTGGGAGAACCGAGGACGGATAATTATCTCGCCGATCATCGTCGTCGTTAAATGCTGCAGGAAAAAAATCAACATTTTGCTACACTTGAGGAAATTAGTTTAAGGTGATACACTGACGGAACGTTAAACTTTAAATTTTTAACCAGCGACAAAATGGCAGGAAATGTAGAATTCATAATTAATTAATCAAGTGGCAAATTTACTTTATAACAATGAGTTACCACAAAAAAATTTTTTTGAGTCAAAACTATCGGATTATGGACAGGAATTAGTAAATAATAAATAATTAGGCTTAGGTGTTAACTTTTATTATACGCACTCAGAATGTAGATCTTTTTTTCTATGACCTCTGCAACTCTACTGACTCATAGCAATCAAAGTTTTCACGCTCTGGAACCATTTTACAAAAGATCCTTGTTCATTTATCTTTATTTCTGTTTATACAAACTGTTGTCCTTATCCTGATGCTGTTCTAAGAAAAATTATGAAATAATAATATGAACCAAAACAGTTATGGGATATATATTAATTATTGTGCACCGATACCAAGTGCTCTCAATAAAAACTCTTTTTCGACTTAACTCGAGTCAATATTCCAACAGCATTCAAGTCAACGCCGACTTGACAAGTTTTTTAATGACCCACAGCGAACCCGAAATCGGTATTCGTTCAGGACAATCGACTTGAATCAAGTCATCATTGACTTGAGTCAGAATTATCCATTTTTTCAGTACTTTTTCTTCCTGCTCCCCTTCCTACCTAATCCAAATCCTATCCAACGACTCCTCTGACGTCACAAAAATATGGAACGCTATAAAAACTTCCCCTCTTCTATGAAAAATTAAATTGAGTGAAATCAACGAGAAAATCGTTAAAAAACTCCACTTGACTTGAATTTCCCGCAACAAATCCTTCGTCACCGAGTCCTTCAACACGAATCCCCATTATGTCGTAAAAAAAATGCATCACGAACCGCTAAACTGGGTCACGTGAAAATTCAAAAATCCGCGGGGCGATAAGAGCGCGCCCCATCTAGCGGTTTTGGTTACCCCACGGCAAGCATCGTGAATTCGCCTTGAGGTTTCCAACGGGCGATCTAATATTGCGGCAAGGTTGCCCCCAGAAAAATTGGCATCAGTACCTGCGCACCTCAACCAGCTCTACCACCACGCAATATTACACCAAGGAAAGATTGTGAGGTTATACCTATGCTAGGACTAGGACAACCTAGACACGCGAGTTCGCTAGCTTTTAAATGACTGTCAAGTTCACGATCGATTAATAGGATCGATAAATTAATGTGATGACTGAACAAACAAGAGACTCAACATCAAGCCCATATTGCGACAATGTGGATAAACGAAGACATTCCATGAGGAAAGAATTTGAAAATATCGCATCGTCGGATGCTGATGGCCTCGAGAAAAGTAGAGATCGCAATTCTTCTCGTTTTCCTTCTAAACGGAGTAGAAACGAAGTGGAAACTTCTAGTGAGGAAGAGGATAATCCAAGTGGTGGAGAGGAAACGCAGGATAATTCAAATCAAGAGGGCAATAAATTGGAGATCAAACAGCTGAGAATTTGGGCAATTCAATATCAAATTCCACCGGCTCATCTGGAGCCTCTACTCGTCATTCTGCGAGCTAGACTACTTCCAACTTTACCTAGATCAGCTGAAAAATTCTTAGACGAATCACAACCACCACCTGCCAAGAAGAGAAAAGATAGCGAAAAAAACGAGTGCTGCAGTCCTGCCCGTAATTATACTTCCATCATTCATATTTTCCGTGAAAATTCATCACAAATCGGATAGAATCGCACAGACACTTTGACATGTCTTTTCAAAATTCAAAAAAATAATTGGATCAAACAGAGAAACTCACAATTTGAATTATTCCAATTGGATTCATCAGAAAAAGATGTTCGATGTAAAAATAACGGATTTTAAATAATTATTTGCAAGGGATTGTTCAAAATTAATTGTTATTTTCTCAGTGCTTAAAGAAATCTTGAAGAAATTGACTTCTATTGAAACTGATGTGAAGAAAAATCGAGACACTCTCGCCAACATCGAAGACTGCCTTCAAGTAAAAGATGATTTTGTATCCGCTGATTTCTCAATCCCAACAAAACACGAAGTGGAATTACCGATCAATTCAGTTGATGCACTTCTCCATTTCGAGCAAAAACTAACGGACGATCGAAGGTGTCTCTCCGATACTGTACGTATTATCACCAATATTTAAAAATTTATGATTAGAAAATTATAACCGTTAGACCCAGAAAGATAATCCATTGGAATCCAAGAAATAGATTTACTTAAATAATATGAAATCAAGTTGTTCATTACAACCCGTTTGTTTTAATTTTAGATTCTGTTTATATCAAATAATTCCTCCTTTGAATTATTAATAAATCTTCATTACATATCAATACATTTTTTATGAATGACAAGTAAACAAATAATTTCTTCATAATTTTAAACACAATTTCAAATCAATTGCAATGAATTTATCCATATTATTCATAATTGTTTTTATTTAAAATTTAATGTAAAGAAATGCAATAAAATTAATTAGTTTTTTTGAATTTAATTAAAAACACGCATCTTTATCTGATTATAATGAATAATTTCTTTAAAAATTTCAGCTGCAAGTGATGAAACGGCTGAAGTCCTCAAAGGTATCAATAAGTGCCACATCGATTTTGAGAAAATTTCTAGGTCGTAATGTGGCAACTCAGTACACAGCAACGAAAAAAATGAGTGATAAATTAGTGATGGAGACTCACGTACCAAAATTCATGGGTTGTGTCTTAGGTACGTTAAAAAGAAAATGATGAAATAATTGTTATTGTGGTGTTGTCTAATGATCTTCTGGATTTTATATTGTAATTGTAATTAAAATTGTAGAGGCACTTATGGCAACTCACGAGGGTCTGTCGGACAAGGAGGCTAAAGCAGCTGTGGGCACGGCTCTGACCCAGTCTAAAGGCTGGGATGGACAGCGATCTGACAAGACTAAAAAGCCGACCAACAGCTCGGCCTCTGTTATTAAGGAAGAGGATATTCTCGACGCCGACTCTATCATGTCTAATACGTGGATGGGAGAGAGGTTTGGATTAGACACTTCTGCGTCTGAATAGCAGGTAGAAATTGTGATAAGCAGCTTTCTTCCAACGTTATCATATTTTTGTATTTGTAAATCATAATAAATGTTTTCATTCATAATCTACTGTTATTTATTAAAATCAATCGTTCGTTGATAACCGGCTAAGTTATTTATTCCGATTGGAATGATAAGTTTGGATGAATTCAATTTTTTATTCTTTTTTATATAAGAACGCTTTTTTATGTTGATTATGTTTTTTTATTGGTAATAAATGTTTGATTGAGGATTATAAATGTTTTATTTATTTGAATGAATTTTTGGAAAATAATACAAGAAAAATTGAATAATTTTTTTTATATTCCAGTCATTTGTTAGAAATTTTGGAAAAGCTTTTCAAAATTTTGAATTTCATTCTAATATTTGATTATCCAAATTTAAAAAGATTTAAAAAATTTCGCAATTTCAAGTGTCGGAATCAAAATATCACTTTTTATATGGAAATAAATGACGAACTAAAATTTTTGAATGATAAAATAGTTTGTCCTTTAAAAAGATTTTTTGACTGATTGTAACATTGGATTTTTTATGATGGCATTGATAAGTCATTTATAGTGGTATCATCACCGTTTGGGATGGAGAATAGTAGCTTCCAATGATAGCATACCCCCGGTTAAAACGAGGCAAAAGCTAAGGCGCTATCCGTGAGTCGAGTGCCACGACTTGACACCATTGACCCATGGCGTTTCACGATACATGAAGGGGTCAAAGCTGAATCGCCGTGGATTCGCTACTTGCACGTCTAGCCGCACGATAGAGAACGCGCCCTCACCGACCTGACGGATTAATCGCGCAAAGTGCGAAGAAGCCGCCTACAAACTAACTACTATTTGTCCCCTCCACCAAAAAAACATCTTTCCATTCTATTTTCAGAAAAAGTCACTTCATTCTAGGATTCTGTTGATGGACATTGATGCGACTTATCTTCACTATATTTTCAATCGATTCATTCAAGTCGTTGTATGGTTGAAAAAGTCTACTCTCAAAATCTCAAATCAAGTCGATGTCGACTTGACGCAGACATCAGCAATCGAAAATTCGGGTCGATATTGATCGAATAGTGAAGACATGGTTCGAGTCGACGGTGACTTGAATCAAGTAGAAGAATTCTGTTGAATCAAGTTGAACTCGATCTAAATCCAGGTGAAGAATCAATTTGAATCAAGAAGAAGAAACGATAGATCGAGTTGAGTCAAGTTTGACTCAACATACAATGGATCAAGTTCAAAAGTCGATTTAAGTCAAGTGGAAAATGAAAAGATCGACTTGAATAAAAACCCAGAGTTTAGATAAAACAAATTAATATTTTGACCTGAGTCAACTCCAAAAAACCATTAAACTTATACGGAACTTGAATGGAGCCGGAAGTGTGAAAATTTGAAATGAAATCATTATTATTTATGAACAATTGGGAAATTCGCATATGAAGTTCATCCGATTATGAAGACATCCGCGTTTTCTGGGAAAACAATTACTGATTCCCTCTCCAATGAAGGATTCGGTTGAGTGCGAGTCAAGGGGAGGGTAATTACGGCGAGATTAACGAGTAGCACGATTATGAAAATTGCTTCATTGGGAGGGACGGAAAAATTGAACGGGCGTTTCACTTGGAAAGTTCAGGAAACATGGGATGACCTTACCATCATCCCAGCGTATAATTCACGTTTAATATCTCCTATTTTCTCAATTGTCAATTTTCATAAATTCCATTTCAAATCTGTCCATAATTTGTATGTTTATTTATTCTTATGAACAATGAGTCGACGACCTTGTCGAACATCTGGTGAATGTACCTTGCAGGCAACACCCGGACGAGCGATTTCTTTCGTTAAAAGTACTTTCCGTTTCCAAGGAAGTGCGATTATGCTTGAATAAATGAAAACTTTGCACTATATAGCAATTACCACTTAGCGCCACTGTGACATTTTAAAGTGCCATTAAATTGTCGTGTTACGATAATTGGATCGATATTATTCTACTTTTTTATCCCAGGGGGTTCGACATGAATAGAAAATCCATTTTAAAAATTCATTATCTAATTGTATGAGTAATTGTCGGATAATTACGTAACATTGAAGGAAAAATACTATTTTTTTTCAATGTTATTTAATTTTTATTCAAATTTTCTAGAGAAAATTCGGGAATTTTCCGCATTATTATTTGTTGTGGTTTTTTTTTTATTAATTTATCGTGGTGCACAAAAAATTTAGTGATAATCGAGGGGAGATATATATTGATCAAGTGAAATTTGTAGGGCAATTTAATTCACTATTTATTAAAAATATTCAATTAACAATAACAGAAATTCAATTTTTGTTCATTTTCTGGAATAAAAAATTAATTGGCAGGCGTGAAAAATTTAAATAATTGTAATTCACTAATTTTATCGACAATTCGTTATTCTCGCGTTTAATGCATTTAAACGTTTTTGCGTGCAATTCTAATAATTTAAGTTGATGAGAGGAAAACGAATAAATTATAGTATATGAACGAAGCATAAATAATTCGCGAAACAAATTCTGATATTTTAAATAAATAAATAAAGTTTCGCAATTATTTCAGCTAGAATCATCTAACTCTTTGGATCGAAATTCTCTCGAAATTAAAGTGGTGAAAATGAAATTACACAACGTTTTACTAAACAAAAAACTATATAAAACTATATAAACTATATAAAAGAATAAAACAATCGACAGGTAAACAAAATGATGTGTAAATAATGTAATGTAAAGTCAAATTACGGATTCGCAGCGCAATATTAATATTCCCAATATTGAGGGAATAATAGTGGAGTGAAAAGCGAGATGTATGAATAATTGAAAGTTTCGGAATTCTATCTGGAATCCATAATTGTCCAACTATTTCTCTCGGTAAACATAATTAAACCCCTTGTAATGGTCAACCGGTAATAACTGCGCATTACGACTCTAAAAAGAATAATAACCAATAGATATTTCACCACGGGCCACTGGACTAACAAAGAAATGGCCAACTGACGTACATCGGCATACCTCCGGGACTATGAATAATAAATAAATGGTGCAATCAAGCTTGTCGGAAGGATATTTGTGAAAATTTGAGATATTTAGAGGTGAAGGCGGGGTAGAGTCGAACGGTTTAAGTTTATACTCTTTACGAGGCAAATGTGTACAACCAGAGGCAATGCCTTCCACTATTACACAGAGTTGTTACCCCCCGGTGCCTCATTTACCCGCCCCTACCCCTCTATTCCCCCCTTGCGACTCCTCTAAGTACTTATTCCACCGAGGAAAATTGGACAAAAGAGGATTAGAGTGGCGTGTGCGAAGTAGTTTTGGTACTCACCGGGAAAAATACTTTTGCCGAGGGTGTTGCAAGCACACTGGCATTTTAATAGACCATTCCCCCACCCCCCGGCTAAAAATACATTGAAAATCCAAGCAATATCCGATGATTCATCAAGGCTGAAGAATTTAATAAAGTCATTCAAAACGACTTTTACTTGATTATACCCGATTTTCCAGTTGATTTCAGTCGAGTCATTCGGACTTCAGCTGTTGAGATTTTCAGTTCATATGAGTTTTGATTCGAGGTCAACAAACGAAAAATATATTCAAGTCAAGTTCGACTTGATCGGAATCAATAGATCAATCCCTTGTGAGACAATATATTGGAAATGTCAAGTAATAGTCCATGATTCGACAGATTTTGTGAATTTATCAAGACTGAAGACTAAGGAAAACGATTCAACTCGACTTCGACTTGATTTGAGTCGAGTGACTCGGACTTCAGCAACGGAGATTCCGAGTTTATATGAGTTAAATTAAGCTGAAAGAGGAATTTTGATCAAGGCGAGGAAACGAGAGATCGATTCAAGTCCAATTAAAATCGATCTGCATTAAGTGAAAAAATCAACTTAAATCATGAATGAATCAGAAAATCGATTTAAATCAAGTTGATTACCGGCACTTTAGTTTATCACTGATATTTCAATAGGCCAATCCCTCATGGAGAAATATATTGAAAATAAATATAATGTCAAGGCGAGGAAACGAGAGATCGATTCAAGTCAAATTAAAATCGATCTGCATTAAGTGAAAAAATCAACTTAAATCATGAATGAATCAGAAAATCGATTTAAATCAAGTTGATCATTGGCACTTTAGTTTATCATTGATATTTCAATAGACCAATCTTTTATGGCACAATATATTGAAAACAAATATAATATCGGATGATTCTAGACTTTTTGAATTTATGAAGACTGGAGGAAAATCGAACTCACAGAATTAGTTTTGCTTTTTATTAGTTTTTTTTTCTTTTTAAATTACACTGAGAAAAAAATTTCTTCTGCCAAATATATTTTCTTTGTATGGTTAGTAAATATTCTTGACAAAAGATTTTTTTTTCTGTTCAGACGTGAAATTTCGCAGGTAAGAAAATTGAATTTCTAATGATGAAATTTATATAAGAAAAATGTATGTAAAACAAGCAGTTAGCCGTTCCTAACGGTAGAAGACATATGATTGTTACTTCACAGGTTATTTATTTATTTTCTAATTTTATTTTGCCATCAATTTCATTGATGGTTAGCTTCCGAATGGACATAAAAATGGAAACTTCTTTATATTTTTCTTCGAACGCGTCCATCTTTTTTTTTTATCTAAATAAGGTATAACGTGACGAATATTTTGAAAAAAGGGAAAATTAAATCGGTTGGGTCGTGCTTGAGATTTTTGAGAAAATCGTTTCAGATACAAAATTGAATATCTCCTGAATGAATCATCCAATCTAGCACATCTTCAATACTAAATATCGCAGTCATAAGAGGAATCTTTCTGCTCAATTTCAATTTGATTGATTGATTTTCAAATATCGAAGAGGGCGTACAATGCATTTTTTCGAAAAACATGAAAATTAAAATATCTCGAAAACTTTTTGGAAACATAGAAATATATTTTGATTAATCCATATAGAGTACATTGAGACGAACGTTTGAAGAGAATGAAGAATGTAAACGGTTGGACAATTTCTGAGATATTTGCAAAAAACTTTTCAGAAACAATCACTGATATTTCGAAAA